ACTCAGACACTCCCCCCCACTAACTTCTGCACTGTGTAACCTACCCACCTACTGAACCTGTAAACACTCCATTCCCCTCTACTGCACAGCACACCCATGAACCCTCTCCCTTCTGCTGTAATGCATGCCTGAGAAGCTGCGCCACTTCTGCTGCAACTCTTGCCCGCAACTCCTTCTCTGCATTGCAGACCCCAGGCTCACCCCCAGCTCCCTATGTTACTTCACTGCCCAGACCCCTGGGCCAGGGGCAGAAAACAGCAGCTGGATGAGGAAGGGAGAGCCCAGAGACTCCAACTGGAGAGCATGTACTACTGGGCAAGAGCCCAGGAGCCTCAATTTAATACCTCACAGCTGCATGTGGCCCATGCTGAACATAACATGCTACAGAGTTCTGGGCCACAATGCAAGCCTAAGTAAATGTTCTATATTAAAGTACTTATGCTGTAGTTAATAAGCATTTGCTCAAAACTAAAATTAATTCTAGCATCTCAAATAAACTAAATGTGCAGTACAAAAGCACAGAAAATAAGTTATTGAAAACATACCTGTTTTTATCAAATGATGTTCTAGCCAAACGTGACTGCAATATAGCAGTTATCTAATGAAAGAAAGGTAAAGATTTTTATGTTCCTAATTGCAGTTGCATCAACATCAATAAAAGCATGCTCATAGGTGTCAAAAGTTTACCATGGCAGCCTGATCTCCCAGTTCATCCAGATGAGAGGCCCTGTAAAGCTATTTTAGAGAGAAATCAGTGTGGGTGATGAAACAAATACCATATAGGACTAAATCTGTTTTCTGACAATTCAGAAGTCAAGTAAGAGCACAGAGGACACACCGCAGTCTTGCAGACAGAATGCAAAGAGAGGAGTCAGTCATTTACTCTAAAGATAGAGATAACCATTTCAAAGTTTTGTTAACAGTTTCTTTACAATCAACCGCTACCAGGAAATGAAAGTTTTTATAAAGGGAAGTGCAAAACAGTTTTTAGAAATATGCCATTTGCTTAGGGTTTTTGAACTAGGGTACTCCAACTTATTTGCCTTCTGAATATAAAACTGTTCAGTCTATTTGCTTTGAAGACAGACTCTTTCTGTATTATAAACTGAAGCTAAAAAAAGTGTGTACCTGAAGCAGAGTCTGTATAACATCCTCCACCTTCCCAGCAACATCCAGCTGAAAGAAGTATTCATTTTTACCCTAATAAAACAAAGTGAAAACAATACTGGATAGAAAACTAAAATTAAAGCTAAACCCCCCCCCCCGACAATACTTTTTTTTAAAGCTGGCAGCATTCCTGAAATATTTTTAATTTCACACTCATGGAAAACTCTGTAAATATACTATATGTATATTTTCTTTGCAATAAATATTCCCTTTGAATTATATTTTGTAAGTGATTCAGTATTTAACAAATGCTTAAAGAGAAATTTTCAAAAAATAGCATCAGAAGCAAAGTCTTAAGTACTTATGCATCTAACATAGCAAATGTTTTTTTTAAAAAGTGGCAGGACCCATTTTAGAGGATAGTGTAGCTTTGCACAATGCAGAAAAAGGTTTCCAGTCAACAACTGCTTTAAAGGATAAAAGCATACAGATTAACTGCAGTATAGTTCTTTTTTCCTTCAGACATTTTACTTCCTTGTTCAACACCCTAGAAGTAGAGGTTTAATTTGAACTAACTTGTCTTTAGGACTGAATAGTATTACATCAAATGAGTATACACATGCATGTGCTTTTTAATAAAAAATGCAAAAGATAAGAAGAGTAAAATACGTTTTGAACAATGGAATATGGGTAGTGAAAAGTTAACCTCTGCAAACTCAGGGAAAAATAACTGCACAAAACCAGATGATTTTCAGCTCAATGTAATAGTCACAGTTCACAGGAATCTAATAAGTAAAGCAATAATGTAAAGAGAAAGCAAGACATCTCAAAGAATTTGGATTGGGGAATAAGAAAAAGAGATTTGAGAAAAAATAAGTTCTAGCACATCTGTAACTAGAGGTCCCCTGTGGCAGATTTCAGGACTGTCCCATTGTATTACTATGAATACCTCTGAGAAATCAGGAGGCCTGTTATAGGTATGTATAGGGTGGTGGATTTATAGGCAACAATGACAAAGACTGTTTTCCCAAACACATAGAAATATAATTCAGAATTACTACACAGATTTTAAAAGGGAGATCGGATGAGTGATTTCAAAGTACAGATACCTCAGAGGGCATTTACAAGGTGTACTGCTGTTCATTATAGGAACATGAATTTGTGGGCTGTGTCACTCAATTTTCCTCTTACAAAAGAGAAGACAGAACACTGTGCAACTTAAATTCTTGTACCAGTTTGCTCTTTACTAGCAACTTTAAATAAGAATGCAATTTTTTGGTGTTTGAACCTATGCCCTATTCTTCCAAAGGAAATACAAAAAAGCTTGTTATTTTCTCTTTCATTTCTCTTCACTTGTTCTGGTTTGAACCACTGATTGAGAAGCCTATAAATGTATAAACACTCCTGAAGTTTGCTTCAATATCAGGTCATGGAAGACTAAGACTTCTGACAAAGTTACTTCAAAAATCTTAATGTCCATCAAATAAAATGGAAAAATTATTCTAAGTGTTTTGATTTTACTCCCATATTCTTCAACACAGTAATTAAATAATCTGATTCTTACAAGGATTTTTATGAACTGTACTTTTGTTCTTGAATTGGCAAAAAACCATAAGAAAGTGTTCACTTACTCTTTCAGTTTTGTACGGTGCAATAATGTTTCGTTCTTTAATGAGATGAACCTAAAAAAAGATAATATAATATGATTTGTGAATTATCATTTGGTGCAATATGTAGATAAAGAATGCAAGTATGTGTGTTCCTGGATGCGAGGAGGGAGGCAGCAGAGGAATGCAGTGCAATTCCTGAATTTGGAAGTTGGAAGAAGGAATTACAGTGGCTGGAGGACAGGAATATGAGAAATGCTTCATCACATCCAAAAAGGGACCTATCCCATTCTAGAATGTAGCCACTACTCGATACTTCAGAGGAAGGTACAAGAAACCTAGAATTGGATATATATAAACCTATCTATAGGTTAAGTTCTTCTTAATTTAAAACTTATGCTTCTTAATTTAAAAGTTATGTCTTAAAAGTATTAGAACTCATATCTACTCTAAGTCTTTAAATCAAACTGATTTTAAACAAAGCAAAAGCTAAAAAGTGTTCAACACTTTTAGTAGCTGATATACAATTTTTAAGCCTATATAGTAGGTAAATGTCTGAAATTATATGCATTACTTATTCCTTTCGATTTCACTTTGACTCCCACAGTAAGAACCGTTAGACAATAGAACAAGATGCCCAGGGAAGTTATAGAATCTCCTTCAATAGAAGTTTTCAAGGCCATGATTTGTGCTGGAAAAAAACCCTTTTTTCCTGGCACAAAAAAAGTGAACATAGTACAGGTGTTCAAGCAATCTGTAGCAGAAAAGAAGAATGATTCCACCACAAACTTTTTTTAAACAACTTTGCTGTTTTCCAGCATACATGTAATGCCTGTTCAGTTATAGGTAGGGAGATGGGTATCCCTCAAGACTTCAACTCTCCCTCCCAGCTGCAAGGAAAAGGGAGAGAATGAACAGTCTAGATAGCCCACACCCAGGGGCAAGTTGTCAGGAAGCCCTGAAAGGACCAGACTGCTGTAGATGCTTGAGTAGTCTTGGCTCTCTCCAGCACTGTTCAAAAAGCTGCATGGCTCCCCCCACTCCCCATCCTTTGACCAGCACCAGGTAGCTGAGAGACTGCTCAAAGCATGGCACAACTTCCCTTCCCTTACCTATTCCCCTTGCCTGTTCAGCCAAAGAGCACAGCAGGCAAGCAAAAGGGTGAAGGGATGGGGTTAGGGTTAGGAAATTCCTCCCACCATTGCAAGAGCTCTGGCAAAAACTGGAGCTCTGGCAGTACTACCAGGGGTGATGGGGCAAAGAAAGCAGCTCTCTCCTACCAGATATTCACTGACAGGTCTGCCCCCTTCCCTGGAACTGGAAAGGAAGGCTCTTGATAATTGGGTACTCCTGGGAGGAGAGAACAAAGGAGCAGCCCACTATCACCCCTTGGCTGAAGAGCAGGCCTTTTTGGAGCTAGAATGCCTGTACACTCCCCTTGCCACATTTTGTGGCACTGCAAATTCATGACTGCTTGGTGACTTATCAAGGACAGTACAGAAGTAGCACATCCTACATCTGTGCAGGGACTGGACTGGATAACCCCTAAGAACCCCTCCAATGGCATAATTGTAAGTACTACTTATTACAAGGCAGATGCAATTCATGGGCATCAGTAAAAAATGCCTTTGTATGAAGGCTATTTACAGATGTTCAGTTGCTACCAAGAGAATCTCCATCTCCACACAAGCAGCTGTTCAAGCTTTTTCTCACAAAGCAACAAGTGGCCACTCCAGAAGCAAAACAACACTGGAACAAGGAGATTTATTCTCCCAAGACAAACCTTCTGTATACATTCCCCCAGCTTAACACCTCCTAGAGAACAAAGGTAAAAACTCCCATCCCAAGACTGGGGTCACCTGAGGCTGGAGAAGGAACCAGGGCAGCTGCTACCCTTCTCCCATTGACCACCTACTTCTCACAACAGCAATCCCAGTGTGAGAAGCAGGCAGGGGTTTTGCTCCCTTCGTTTGGCTCCCAGCACCTGGCAGCAGATTGCAAAGAGCTTTGCAGCCTCTGCTTGCTTTCCACACCAGTCCCCAGGATGAGAAGTGGGCAGGGGTTGCCCTGCTGCTCCCTCTGCTCTGCTCCCTAAGACCAGGAGCAGAATGGTGAAGTGGTTGCTCCAGACAGGAGGCTTTGCCCTGCTGCTCCTCTCTCCTCCTGGATCAGTCTGGGATAGGAGAAGAGCAACAGCTGGTGCTCCCTTCCTCTTCTAATCATGGCACTGCTCAGCTTGGAGAATGGGCTGGGGGCTGTGCCTTGCTGCCTCCCAGTCCAATCCAGGAAAGGAGAAAAGCAACTGCCACTGCTCATTGCCTCTTCTGTTTTCATTATTGTAGTTACACTGGATAAAAATATCAGTATAACCTCTAAGACTTTTCCAGGGTAAGCAAGGTGCTATTTTTTTTATTTATATACATCTATATGTCTCTATATATTTTACAGTTGCAAGTAAAAGTGAAGCATACACTTATTTCAGCACAAAATAAACTTCTGCTTCTTTTACTAAAATATTTACCACTTAGAAATCCACCAGAAAATGACCATAAGATGTTAACTAAATCAGGTGAAAAAAAAGGTGATTCACCCTGGTCACAAAGGACTTCATGAAAAGTGTTCCCATTTTTGCTAAAAGAGTTGCTTTTAAAAATTTCAAAATCAACTGTATTTTTAATTAAAGCTACTGTATCTATAGTTTATAGATATTAACCATAATTAAAACACTCCTATCAAAATATTACTTGTACTATTTTTTAAATCATCTACTGATTAGTGCTGAACATGCACTAGAGCCCAATGTTTAGACAGTCTTCTCATTTACCTCAATGGCAGGACTTTTTGCAAAACTAACACGTTAAATCCCTGTGATAATGAAGTGTTGAAAAACTATGAGACGTAGCAAGACCAAAATTAGTAAGTCTCATAGTCGAAAAACACGTCACTAAGAAAAGCATTATTCTTCCTTTCTCAAGTTACTTCTGAAAATATTGTCTTTATTATGAAATTTCCTAATAAAAACTTGTGATGCAAACTCAGCACGGCAAACTATGATCTTTTCAGGCAGGTTTCTTGAAATATTAAATTTGTGTTTCATATAAGGTTGCAGGTGTTTTATGGCTGTTCTTGTTTATTTACAAGATACTTTAAAAACAATAATGGTGACTATCCCCCCTTAACTAACTGTGTCTAATACTGATTTTAGTAAATACTGAACAGAAAAAAATTCTTATTTGCCAAAAAAATTGGGGATGTCTTACCTGATTAGATGTGATAGAAATTCCTCCAGGTATCTCCCTAAAACATAAATACAGTATATTTGAAAAGCAGAATTCAACTTACTAAAACCAAAAAATGTATGCATCTGAATTAAAATTCACAAACCTTGCAAAATGCTTATTTGCTTCATTGTCTTCTGGTGCTTCTATACTAAGACAGTCTCTCAGTGGTATCTGTAACAAATTAGAGAAATACAGAGTTTATTTTAAAATGTATTTTAAAAGGAAACCAAGATACGACCAGGTTATAAGACCATACAACTTACTTTAATAATAGGGTGGATATTGTCATCAGGTTCAAAAATAACCGACTTGGAACAGATTTTTAGTGAACCTCTTATTTGCCTAGAAATGAAAAGAAAATCATGATGATAATGCCAAATCATTATACAGTATAATGGCAAAATGATTTTAATGAATTTTTAAATAAATACAAGTAGATGGGTTTTCTACCTTTCACCTCTACAGCCTTTGTTTATATGATTAGCTGTATGCTGTTCAAAGTAATATTCTTCCAGATTAAGGAGCAGTAAGGAAAACCTATAAATGAAAAAAAAAGTTAAGAAAATATATAAGAAACTTTCTTCATAAAAGAGAACAGTCTGTGCTATTTTTAATTGAACTACACTGTCAAATGGGCACAATTAAAAGCATTAAAGATGTGCTGGAGCGTCTCTCACTTGAAAATATCTAAAAGTGTTGTATTTACACCGAATGTGAAGAAAAAAATAAGTTTTCTATCCTACATCTTTTATCAGTTTTTTTCATGAGTTGAGGTTGTTGGCCTCATACCCCACACAAAAGATGCCTGGCAAAGTACAACAAATGCAGAGAGTCTGCATGATGAAACAAAAGAGTAATGGTATGAGACTAATAACATTCGCCACTTCATGGAACATGATTAAAAGTACAACATTCCTACATAAGAAAAATATACATAAGGACTCCTCATTTTCTCCTGATGGAAAAATTTGCAACCATATCAGCTATGCAGAGAAGGCATACAAGACAAATTTTGGAAACTGAGGCAGAAGGTATCAGACCTTGAGGTAGACCAAGGCAACGATGGCAAGATAACATAAACACTGACCTGGAAGGGCTAGGTGAAGATGTGACAAAATGAAAGGAGTTTGAACAGGGCAGGAGAAGGCTATAGTTAAAGTGGAAGGCATGTAAGACCAGGGACAGATCATTTTGATTGTTGCATTGTTTGTAAAACCTTAATTGGGCCTTCTGTAGAAACAACAGTGTGCAATAATGCATACGCACGAGGCCCCAGCCTTATTCAGTTCAGGCTGGAGCTGATGTATGGATCATTCCAGATTGTGCAGTGAAGTCGGTTTCATCTGTGGCAAAAGCTAGAAAGCATCTTGTTAACAAAGGGGGTGGGGAGAAGGAAGAGAAAGGATTATTTTGTGACTAAGGCAGCTGAATGTTTCACTAAGAACTGGATCCTACCTTTACTTCTCTGATATAGTTCCTTTGGGATGCTGGGCAATTTGCTTAAACCAATATTTTTACAACTGGGGCCAGGTCCTAAAGGATTAAGTGACCTACATGCTAAGTTCAAAACTGAGATCCAGGACACCTTCTCTGCAGTTGCCTAGTTCTGGAGGTGCTTAAAAATTCAGTAGTTAAATCTATGACTTCCAGATTCCCTAGATGTCTGGCTACTCAGGATGGGGCAGTGCTGTTCTAGCCTCCTATAATTTGCTGGGTTGCCTGGACCCAAACCTGATTGGCATCCAGAAACAAGATGGGATGGTGCTTGTGTCCTAAATGACCCAACTTTTTTCCTCCAAGTACAGCTATTGCACACTAAGAGAACCAGGCCCTTCACAAAATTCAATTATAGATAGTTCTACTTTTAAAAAGCCAGCTGAAGAGGTTGCAGTGGTCAGAGACTGTTTCAAACCCTCCTCAGCCTGAGGGGTTCAGATACTCATGTCCCTCTTTCCAAGTGTACCCTACCCACTAAGTTACAGACAAGGCTAGGTGAGGGGCATCCTCCCCTCCTTATGAAGAGGTATGATATTGTGCAGCAAAGAATACATTATAGATGGGGCTGGAAAAAGCAAAAGAGGGAATCTTGTGAATCATGTTTGCACACTTAACAGTGCAGTGATATTGTATCTGAATTGTTAGGGCAATAAAAATTGGAAGCACGGAATCCCAAGTTCTCTACTCCCAGGTGTCTTTATGTATTTCATATAAACATCATTGCATTAAAAAAAAAAAGCTACACCTTACAAACAGGCCAGATAATCTCTCTTCTGCCTTATAGAGCTGCATTACAAATTAAATAGCCCTGTTCAACTCTCTGGAAGATACTGAAGGAAAAGATTCCAGGTTCTGGATGCTAACTTGATAGAGAATCCTGTCTACAGCCTCATCTCAGGTACCTAAACTCTGGAACTCAAGCATTTCCACCCCCCACCCCCCAAAGTTTTGGATTTGACTTTGGGGTTACATGTCAACAAAAAGTTCAGTATAGCAGACCCTAACCTGTAAGCACCCTTCTTGGGCTTATCCCATGGTCATCCACCCTGTATTTTTATTTTCTGGCTGTGTCATGAATTTCATTGTCTTCGCATGAGTTTCTTTGTAGAAGTACCAAGCACTTACCCAGCAGCTGTGCTTTGAATATACAAAGTGCCCTGAAAATTCATATTCTTGGCTTCTTATGTTGTAATGAGAAATAGCACAGGTAGAGCACAGGTCAGGGCTACAGTGTAGCAGTTGCCCCTCCAGCCAGGGCTCTGGGAAGCAGGTCCTGTTCCATCTGGCAGCTGGACATGTAGGGTGTGAGATTTTGCAGGGAGGGGTTTTGGGTTGGTGTAGGGTTTGTGGGAGTGATGCTTGTGCAGAGGTTTGGGGTGGTGTGGTATATGTGGGTGGGGGCCATTGTGGGTGGGGCTTGAGGGTGGACTGTGGGGGAGTTTGTGGTTGGAGAGGAACTGTAGGGGAGGGGTGGGTCCGCTGCATGATACACAACCCCCCCCGCCCCCTGGCAGCATCAGCCAGGGCAGGGTAGAGCATGGGATGGAGCCACAACAGCTCAGCCAGGGGTGTGGGGCAGCTCTGGGCCACTTCGTGCACCTCTGGGGGAAGGCATGGGGAACATGTGCCCCCCAGATTTGTGCATGGGGCGAGAGCAGGCTGCCTGCTGTGGGCTTGGGGCCAGGGGCTACACTCAGGGGAGACACTATGATGAATTCTGGGATGGCTGTACCCCATAGCCCCCATCCCAG